AGAGAGAGAGAGAGAGAGAGAGAGAGAGAGAGAGAGAGAGAGAGAGAGAGAGAGAGAGAGAGAGAGAGAGAGAGAGAGAGGAGTAAGTCATAAATTCATCAACACATTTGCTGGCCTAATGTGTGAAAATTGGTTAAAAGATGCTAAACTAACTCAGACGGATTCACTCATTAATTAACTTTTAATTCACTGGTGTAAACCAACATTCCCATTGATTCATTACATGAATCTGCAAACTCTCATCTCAAGGGACACAGCTTAAAGGTATAGCCATAACACATAAACAGGTGCCCCCTGATGGTCCCTTTAAAGAGCCATATATAGGCCACTACCAGAACAAGGAGTAAGAAAACACTCCAGGCAAAACACAGCAATATATACATCAAAGCCTCACGCAATGACCGTAAAAATAATTTTTAAGAATGATTCTTGATCTTTAAAAATTCTATATTATTATCCCATCACTTACAACTTGCCAAGATCCTTCTGTTTTTGAATGATGCTCTTTTGCAGGTCTGTAATAAGACTTGCTAGTGAAGTACTGTTCTGCTTGATGGTTTCTGTATGCAGAGAGAGCAGCTTTGAGGACCAAGTGATGTAGTATTGAATGTGAGGAGATGCGTCAAGTCTCTCTGCCAGCACTGGCAATAATCTCTCAATGTAAACTGGAGACAGACCGTTAAGAATCAGCTCAACTGTAGCGGAGAGAGGTGAGATGAGAGAGAATAAGAGAGAGTGAGAGAGAGAGAAAAGAATTTAAAAAAAGAAGTTTCAGACTATCCCATTTAGCTAAAGTCATCTAATCACTAAATATCACTACTGCTTCTTAAGGTCAAATAAAACAAACACATCATAAATTTACACAAACACAAAGAGCAGCATCCAATGGTTGAATAGAGGAAACAGATCAAAGAAGTTGAGACTTTGTACCATACAATCTTTATCACATATACACAGCACATTTTTGAAACATAGGAACGATCAAAGCTTGTATAATTAATTGCTACGTAACCCATATACCAGGTGGAAGAACCGTGAAATTAACATAGGAGAGAGAACGAGAAGAGGCAGAGAAGAAAGAAAAAGGATAGAAAAGAAAAGGGAGTGGTGAGCTTGAGTGTGACTGCTTAACCCATTGAAGACAAATTGTCCTGTCTCCACCAACTCTTTGATTATAGTAACAATTGCAAAACAGGCAAAACACACTGCTAGACAAAAACATCAACAACAACAAAAATAAAACTCACAATAAAAATATAAAAATTAATTAGCGAATGGAACAGAATCACTATTGGATTGATAGACTCAATGATTTATATCAGATGCTTGTACACTGACGCACATATAGTTACTAATGGAGAAGTGACAGATGAAACATAAGGTCACCCTGCCTACTCAAATATTAATAATTAGCATAACATAACGACAGACAGTAGTTACAGTATACACATGTGCAGCATAGTCTATACAAGTCTATTATGAACACATGGTACTATTAATAGTCATCATTTCCTTAAATACAGGCGCATGATATGAATAATAATAATAATAAATAAACATGTATATTAGCCCAAAACATGGGAGGAGAAGTAGGGCCATTGTGCAAAGAGACAAACTGAGACAAAATTGCAACAAGAACAGAGACAACAACAAAGAAGACGACACAAACTGATTGAATGACACTAAGTAAGGCAGTAACACTATACAGCCATCACTACTAGCATGCACTTGTATGTCTGTGTAGTATAATGCCTGCATATACTACTCTATGCATGTGTATATACATAATATAAATGCCATGTATGGAGACATATGTCTAATTCATTACATATTAATTACAGGCACATGTCCTGTGTTTGTGCCAAGAGCAATCGAAGACACTTCAATGCAGAGAGAGAGAGAGAGGGAGCTAGGCAACAGCTGTTTATGGAAGCTACAGAGACTAAACAATAAAGAGGACACGTGTTTAATATACAAAACTAAGCTTAATCGTGCACCTACTTATGTATCATCCCACACGTTCTAAATCAGATAAAACACGCTAATAATGGACATGCATATAAACAGAGCTAATAAGCAGACTGATTTATTAGCCAGGGGTCAGTATAGCTGCTACTATCACCATAGCTACTTCTCAACCTTTGTCCTTATGAAGAGAGAGAGAGGGAGATAGTGTGTCTTCTGGTAGGGATAATTCAATGTACAGCAAACACACACAACATAACAAATAATAGGAAAAGGGGGAAATTGGAAGAAAAGAAATTAAGAGAGAGGGAAAGAGGAAGAGAGCTAGGGAAGAACAAACTTAATGAGTTACTTTGAAACTGACAAGCGCTTTGTGTGCCATTCCCATGACAGATGCTTGTGAACAAAAACAGCAAGAAAAGTATATTGGAAAACTAATAATCCTATTCCACTGTCTAGTGTCTACACAGTACACAGTATCTATGTAGGTACAAACAATGGCATAAAGCTATCATAACACTAACAGCTTTAATCTAATTAAGAACAAGCATAATAGAGTACAGTCTATAGACAAAAACTGTCTAAACACAGATGGTTGTTTGCTCATCCCAACCATACCTGCCTGCCCTCCACTATATGTTAATGACATCACCCAGGGCCACCATTAGTCTGCAGCCTCCATTATATAGCTACAGTTAATGAGATCACCCAGGACCACCATTAGTTTGCAGCCTCTACTATATAGTTATAGTTAATGACATCACCCAGGCCACCATTAGTCTGCAGACATTGGGTATACATGGAAACATATCAAAGCGCGTCTCATTGTCTGGAGGCTAGCCCATCTATTAAATAATTAACATATTGTATCATATCACTCGACTATGAATATTTTAATGGCCAGCGTATGTATGTATAGTAAATGTGAATAAGGACACTTACAATGCTGGTGTGAATATCTATATATTATGCATATTACATTGCTAAACCAACTATCATGCAGCACTGGGTCTTGTTACATGGAGCACATCTGCTAAGGCTTGCATGAAGTCAGCAACCATAAACCCCATCCTCCACAATGTTCCCAGAACTATATACAAGACAGACACTCCAATATTTTAGAAATACATTGAGAAGTACACTGAGAATATCAATTTATAGAAATGCAAGGAGCATCAGGAATACTGGAGTAAAGGGCATTGAAAACTTTACTATTATTTTGGTCAGCAGGTGTCTAATATGGTTAGTACTGATGATGTGCCAAATTACATGTACGTGCACACACCTCCTTTCAGCTGTCAAGGGAAAATTATTGCATTATACTAGGGCAAATCAGCTTAGACCCAATAACTGCATAATAGTACATATAATCACTATAGAGCATACTGAGATACAGTATCTATGGTGTGTGTGTGTCTACAGCTGGTATCCAATTCAGCAATCTAAAATTAATTTAAAGTCATTATGCCGTGTGAATGGTGAAACCCATTGCTAGTTGAAGGGTCAACACAACACAAGACCAGCTGTCACAAAGCAGAAGAGAGTTTCCAAGGGAACACTTAGACACTATCACAATAATGGTAAGAGCCTGACAGATGCTACTCTCGGAGAGTGGAGTATAAAGTTGCAGGTATTCACCACACAAAGCCACACAACAACAAAAGAAAAACAATGACATAACACCTTAATGGAATAATAGAAGCATGCCACTCAATTAGTTGAGCAGAATGATATTGTCTAAAATAATATTATGTGGAGGTGCAATGTTTAAGAATACTGATCGATAATAATTAAGAGAATGTGCCTGTACATGTATGAAATGGAATGATGCTAATATAATTATAATAATAAATAATAATAATAATAATAATAATAATAATAATAATAATAGTAATAATAATATTAGCAATAATAATAATGATGATGATAACGGGAATAAAAATAACGATGCTATAAATACATGTACAATGTACATGTAGCAGCATACAATACCTAAAAAAAGAATTAACTAAAAGACGTCAGCATTACAACTACTGTTGCATCATTCTCCATTAACTGTTGCTTGTTATTGTTCTGGTACTATTGCCTCTATAAGATCCATCCAATAGTAGTATAGATCAGCTCACTGCACCCCCTCACTTACACATCACTAACACACACACCCTTCCACTAACGGGCCAACCCTGTATTGTTCCGTATGCCCACTGCAGATTAGTTCTAACTCTTTAGAGCTGATAGGGGAGATAATGATCAAAATTGACCATATATGTTCACTAACGACTCGTTGTAGCACTGCCACTTGGAGACGTGCGAGTCATAACAAAAAACAGGCACTTGGTAATTCTGAAGTGTTGGCAGTTTGTATGAGTGATGCTTTGTGATTTGCAGCTGGAATCAAAACAATAGCATATATGTACATACACATTAGGACTTCCTCTTATATCTAATACAACTGTATTGACAATACTTGGTAGGGTAATAGTAACACATGTAAATAATAATAATTTATTATTGAACTCACTGTTAGCTACAGGAATTGATTCGATTGCTTCCACAACCACGTCAGGCTCATTTAGGCGGAGGCTCATGATCAGTGCGTTGGTGAAATCCTTTCCTTTGACGGCATCTCTCACTGATTCGACTGTCACATCAACTGTGAGATCAAACGGGTCAAAGACTATACCACTGTCCAGGGTAAAGACCAGTAGCCCTTCCGTAGTCACTGCTGACCACGCCTTACCTATTAATATAAATACTATGATCCAAGTTTCTATAATAATTATAATTTGTGATCAGAATCAGTTCAACTTTTCGACAGAGCATTCACAGCTATACACATAAGGGACTCAAACATAATCTGCAATAAAATTGAGCTTTTTCTGAGCCATTTTTAATGAGGAATCATATACAAAAATTTGAAACCTTTGCAAATAGGTAGCAATTTAATGTTCATGTGTTCTAGGCCCAGCCCGCCCACACACTAATTAATTCTGTACGCACCAGTTGGTGAGAACTGAAGGGACTTTGTCCTTATTTCTGGATGAGTTTTACGTGAGCTATAATCACCTAAAGGATAAATAAATACAAATAATAATAACAATATGATTAACATTCCGAAATCAAAATAACTAGGTATCAATTTCCTCCGCCCTTCCTGTGAGTGTGTCTGGCTCAAAGAAATAAATAAAACAAAAGTGCCACAAGAGTTGATTATGACTATGATAAAGGAAGACAAATGCAAACAAAGAGAGGGACACCAAATATGGCAAACACTTTACCAAGTCATTAGACATTGTTATGACAACTTTCCTATAACACAGAGGCAGGGAGGGAGAGAGAGAGAGAGGGAGAGAGAGACAGAGTTAGGATATGAACAGACAGATTAACAAATTCCTGTCTGTAACTGAGAGAGGATGGGAAATACAGTATAGACATACAGGACAGAGAATGAGACAGAGGGGTGTAGTCTTCAGCACATACAAGTACATAGGAACATACACTACAGTGTATACCCACAAAAATGTGATCTCTCCATGTTCACACATATTACATAATATCTACCCTGGGACTAGAGCATGATCAATTAGTTGCAAACTAGACAGTTGTCAAGCGTTATGTAAGGAGTCTTGTTGTGCTACTGAGCAAAGCAAATATCACACACACACACATAAATATGAATTTGCAATTGGTATACAGACAAGGTAAATAACAATAAAGAGAACTGTATTCGTCTGGATTATGTAATCTTGGTCACTTGTGGCTGTTCCCAGATTCACGTGCCGTACAACCAGCTAACAATTTATTTATTTATTTTTGTGACAAGGTCATGGCTCCCCTTCACTTCACACAGACAATGCAATTAAGTAAAGATCAAAGTAATTTAATAAAGCAGTTACACACTGCACTCTTCCAGTCAAAAGCGTAGCTCCTCACTTCCTTCATTGCATCATGAGAACCAGTCAAAGCAGTAGACCATAATATGACATAAATAACTAACCGGGATAGTGATAGTATAGACAGTAGGAGAGGACGTGATGTTTCATTAAAAGAAGTTTTAAACAGCAGCTGGAACTTGGCAGTAATCTCTCTTTCTCACACACACACAATAAGTAAAACATGATGAAGTCACTCGTTAGAACATCTGGAGATGTACATGTACGTAATCTATTAGTGTTAATACGAGAGTATCGGGAGTCCCTTTCTCACAGAAGCAATTACATGTATATGTTTCTCAATACAAATTGATAGTATAGTCATTAGTAGTGAGTTTCTTACCTTTCCTGACACCTGGTAACGGTATTAGTCTTCTATCATCATCGGAGTCTCTTTCATCATCATCACTTATCATGTCCAATGGGCCAGCCTCGGTCATATTACGACTGCTAAGAACCCTCTAATGATACATGCAATATCATAAAATATGCAAATTAAAACATCTTAGTACATGTACATGTATATTGCATGTACTGACGTCCCTCATTGTGTACTGGTTGCTCTTCAATACATACAAGTGCATTTAGTCTACTACTTTCAGTAATCATTGGGACTATACAGACACATGCACACACACACACACACAAGAAATCCTAGACAACACAAATTAAATTAAGCAGGAAACATGTGTAAATACTATTAAATTAAATTATTGATATATATACATGTACATGTAGATGTACGTCTAGCAAAGCCTACCAAAAATGGGTTTTTGCTTGTCACGGATTTCGTGATAATGGAACTGATGGGTTTTTGCTTGTCACGGATTTCGTGACAATGGAACTAATGGGTTTTTGCTTGTCACGGATTTCGTAACAATGGAACTAATGGGTTTTTGCTTGTCCTAGATTTCTTGAAGTTTTCCAGTAATTATTATTGCACACAAAATATCAGTGGATCTGCCAATTAATTAGGGTTTACCTTCATTCCATCATAAATCTGATTATTGGACGTTTGATATTTCTTGAGGAGCTGCTGATGTCTAACATCATACAGACAGACAAACTTTGATCTACCACCAGCTAGGAGGGACTGGCCGTCAGCTGTATAGCACAGAGTTGTGAAATGACTAAAGGAGAGAGAGTCATTGTCACGTGATTGGGTCCCTACGTGTTCTCTGAGAGTCTTTTAGCAGTTATCTTATCGGCCGATCTCCTACCAACTTCAAGATCATTCCGTCCTTCGATAGTACCAATTTGAGAAGAACTAGAGACATTGAATAAAATAATGAAATTAATACACACACACACACACATGTACATGTACATGTCAAACAGTACATGTACTTACGTGTTGACATCCCATAGTGATATAACTCCATCTAATGTAGCGACTGCTAGCTGAGATCCATCAGGAGAATAAGATAAAGTCAATACTATAAAGATATAATGATATACTGGGGGACTGATGGAGAGTGTTAGTACCATCGGTTGAGTGAGGGAGAGTCTCAATGTTTCCTTTACTTTCAAACACGTCCCAAAGTTTAACAGTTTTGTCCCAAGAGGAGGAACCAAGTATCGAGCGAGAAGGAGAGAACGCCAAACCACTTACTGGACCTTCATGACCAGTCAAAATCTGGAAAGAGAGAGAGAGATGTGCATATTTCTAAGTTCTTCCTTACTTCAAGAAGTCGTCCATTTTTCATTGACCATACGAATATTTCAAAAGTGTCCACAGAGCCAGCAGCTACTACCTCTCCACTGATATCCAGTGCCAGCGATCGAAACTGAACCGGACGCGGTGAAGCTAAGGTACGGAAATTCCTATACCTATAAAAAAAAATAATAAAAAAAATAATAAATATCATTATTTTACCTCTGGAGATCGTAAGCTCTTACGGTTCCATCCAGCGACCCACTCACCACAAACTTACAGGAGGCATTAAATAGAACTGACGTCACAGGAGCAGTGTGCTCTGAAAATGTGACAAAACAAAACCCGGAGGAAGTGTTCCATAACTTAACCTAAAATCAAAAGTGTTAGGATTGTACATGTACATGTACATATCTGATCAATAATGTCTATAGTCAAGCAAGGAAAGTCGTCCCACGGACCATCGTACCTTTCCATCGTCCCCACCAGTAGCAATCAACTGGCCGTCTGGTGAGTAGCACATGGCGTTCATCTCGTTATTGTGGCTCTGCTGCTTCAGTATGTACGTCTCTGACTGCCACTCCCAGACCAGCAGCTGACCTAATGTGCTGGAGCCAAATGCTAACCACTCACCAGTTGAATTAACTGATACACTTGTAATCCGATGCTCTGAAATACTAGCAAAGGAGAGAAGAAGGTAAGAAAAAAAGATATAGGTTTATATTATGTGAGTAAATATAGAACAAAAATGATAAAATAAATGTACCTCAAAGAGTGGATTAGGTTGAAATCAGGCATTTCATGAAGAGTGAACACTCCATTATTGAAACCAGTGATTAGCATCCTGCCCGACTTATGCAATGTTGCACACGTGACACGAGCTCTGTCTTGAGAAAATAAATGCCTAAGCAATAACAACAACAACAACAATAATAATAATAATGACAATAATAACAATGTAGTATTAATTAAAATTGTCCATCTGTTTACTTTGCTTGTTTTTTCCAAAAGATGATTTTATCCGTTTGCTTTCTTTTTGACACTGGCAGATCTATACAGACAAGTAAAGACACACTAAACTCCAATACATCAATCGCTGTACCTTCTCTTGTCTCCTCCTCCTCCTCTTCCTCTTCTTGAGTGAAGTCCTTCTCTCTCCCCTTCTCTCCATCTTCCTCTGTGGTCCCTTCACCTGTCAGGAACTCCTCAATCTCTTCCATTGATTTGGTAGGTTCCCATACAATGACTGCTCCATCTTTACTTACAGTGTACAGCTAATTATTAGCGCGATATAGGACAAAACAGGAGGAGAGCTAAAGCCTTACGGTTAAAGAGTTTTTCTCAAAGAAGACGGCACACACTGTACTCCTGTGACCCAGCAGAGTAGCATGGCGGATTCCTTTAACAGAAGAATAGACACGGCAACTCATATCACGTGAACCAACAGCTACAAATCTGAACAAAAATAACTTGTTAGTTGAATAAATGTATTAATAAGTATGGATTCTTCTACCTAGAGTCGTCGGACCAATCAATGCATCTAGTGTCGTCATACATAGGCGGGTACTTTCTGTATAAGTGAAAAGGAGCAAAATCAACATAACGTCCCGGGGCATGCCACAGCTGGAGTGATTTCCCGTGTGTCACAGCAACATACCTGCAATGGATAAAAAGGAGATTTTAAAATTTAGAGTCGATCCCATTAAAATTGTATTTCTTTAATTTGCTCAAAAATCTGGCCAAAGACCATGTACTATAGTACATGGTCTTCGGCCAAATTTTGGCAAAAATGTCAAGGAGAGAATTCTCCATTTTTATAATTTTTTCTGATGCATATACATGTTCTTATGTTGTATTTCAAGTTTGAGATGATTCCAATTAAAATTGGATTTTTCATGAATTTTTTAAGTTGCTCCAAAATCAGGTTAAAGTCCCTGTACTATAGTACAGGGACTTTGGCCAAATTTCACCAAAAATGAAAAGTAGAGAATTCTCCATTTTTATAATGTTTTCTGATACATATACATGTACTTATGTTGCGTAGAAACTTTGAGCTCATTCCAATCAAGTTCGGATTTTTTATGAATTTTTAAAGTTGCTCCAAAATTAGACCAAAGTCCCTGTACTATAGTCTATAGTACAGGGTATCCACTTACTTTCCATTAGGACTATATCTGATGTCATATACTTTTGATTTAAAATTGAAACTATGCAATACAATATGATGCTGAAGATTAACCAATATAGCCTTCCCATCTACAAATACAGAGAAACAGTGACATAACATCATGGAGTATATGACTTACCCTCATCCACACTGATCAATAGGGATCCATCAGGCGATACAGTGAAACAATAAATATTCTTTTGATTTTCAAATGGAAAAGTGCACGACTTGTTACTTAAGAAAAAGAAACATTTAGTTATATAAAATAATTTCATAATTGACACACTTTTTCAAATCAAATTGCGATATGCGGTTGCCCACTGGACTCAGTACTTTATTACCATCAGAGGAAAATAGGATAGAGCCTTGCTTGTACACAGCACCTAACAGGTTCGAAAACTAAAGAAAGAAAAAACAGTAAAAATGGACAACAAATTTACTTTAAAAGAGAATTTCATAGTGACTTGCTTGTGCCACGTGGGTTAGCTCCACCTACAATTATGATCACGTGATTATACTCCGGATACTTAATTAGTCTAGTTTACAGAAACTATTAATAACTTCTGTCCCTCCCTTTTTAATGTTATTATTATTTTTTTTAACTATTTTATTACTTTATTTAATTTTATCATTTTTCTTTCTATTTCTTTATTTTTCATTTTTTACTTTTATTATTTTATTATTTTTATATAGTTTTAATATTTATTTTTTTATTTTTTTTATTTTATTTAAAAATTTTTTTTTCATTTTTTATTGTATTTTTATTTCTTTTTTCTTAATTTTAATTTTTAATTTTTTTAATTTTAAATTTTATTTTGATTTATTTTTAATTTTGTTATCTTTACTTATTTTTTATTGTTATTTTATTGTTATTTTTTATTTTTATTTATTATTATTTTTATCTTTTAATTTTTTAAATTTATGTTTATTATTTTTTGTTATTATTTATTTTATTTTATTTATTTTTATTTTTATT